GCGAGAGGTCGCCGTCGCCGATCACATTCCTGAGGACACGGCGGTGCTCAGTCCACGCAGGACACACCGCCACCGTATGCTCCACCGTGTCCTCCGGGCGATCCTCGCAGTGATGACACCCGGGCGTTTCCTCCCGCCCAATCCGAAACAGGAACCTACCGAAACTTCCGTGTCCGGTAAGCACCTGCGTCAGGCGGTAGGTGAGGACGCCGTAGCGTCTCTCAAGCCACTCCTCAAAGAGGGGACTTACCGCTGCAATGACAGCGAGCCCAGCCTTCGGTTGCGACAGTCGTTGCTGCCATTCCGCCATGAGATCACGCCGGAGCTCATCCCGCCACGCATTAATCTGGCGCGGCAGCGGAGTTTCGCCCCGGCGACGTGCCTCCGCGCGCAAACAAAACACGCGCGCGAGCACCTTCGCCTCCAGATCCCACGGCGGTAATCCGGCAAGGAGGTTCGCCGCCTCCCCGGAGATCGTGCGATATCCGCGTATCAATCGGATCGCCATGACCCTCTGTGATGTGAGCAGCGCCCGAGCGGGCCGCCGCATCAGGTTCGGCGCCCACACAGGGGCGCCGTAGAGGGCCATGGACCGCACGACCCCGGCGTATAACCTCCGGCAGGAGGCGTTTGGCCCCCCGAGGTTGGGTAGGAGGCGCTTAAGCGCCGCCCCCGTCCTTTCCAACTTAGGAGCCAAACGTCGGAAATGCTCCACGAAGTTCCACCGACTGTCGAGGACGAGTCCTAGATACTTCATCGTCGTCTCGACGCCGATGGTAACTCCTCCCGCGTTAATTGGGACTCACCCGGAGGTGGCGCGTTCCCGCGGCCATGAAAACACATGGCTTCGGATTTGTGGAGCGCCACCTCGAGTCCCAGTTGCCGGATTCTTTCAACGACTGTCGTAACCGCTCTCGCCGTTAAATTAGCCGCCGCCTGATGCGACCTCCCGTGTGCTAACACTAGTGTGTCGTCAGCGTAACAGACCACGCTGACGTTGTTCGGGAGGTCGGTGCGCAGCACCCAGTCATAGCCGATGTTCCACAGGAGCGGCCCCAAAACCGAACCCTGTGGAACACCGCGCGACGTCTCTCGCCGGTTCCACTCACCTCGGTGACCGGGGTAAATGACGGACCGTTCCGTCAGGTATGCCTCGATTACACGACGGAGATAGGTGGGCACCCGATGATATCGAAGTGCCTCCAAAATGCAGCTCCAGGGCAGGGAGTTGAAGGCATTGGCGATGTCCAAGGACACCGCCACTACGACCTTACCTCTGGACACTGCAGTCCCCGTCGTGAGGTCTCTTACACGCATGATGGCGTCCACCGTGGAACGCCCTCTGCGAAAGCCGAACTGGCCCTCCGACAGGTCCGGCCCAACATCCGACAGGTGCGCGACGAGGCGGTTCGAAATGATCCTTTCGAAAACTTTTCCCACCTCGTCGAGCAACACGATGGGCCGGTACGCGGACGGAGAGTCCGCAGGGCGCCCCGGCTTCTTCACTAGGACCAATTTACCCGCCTTCCACAATAGCGGGAACTGGCCCCTCTCCAAGCATGCGCTGTAGAGAAATTTTCATACCCTGGCATCATCCCTATTCAACCCAATCTAATTTCTACAAGTAAAATAAAATAATGCAGTTCTTAAAAAAAAATCACCGCAAAAATTAATTAATTACACATTGTATTTGTATAGCTACATGAGCTTCGTCAGGAAATCGGAAGCCGGAACAAGACGAAGGTTTTATCTGTGGCGACTAAAAAAAAGTTGATGGACAAGGTACAATGGCTTTTGAGCTAAAATTAAAAAAAATGTAAGAAAGTGAATGCGACTTCAATGTCAACGAAAAAATGTTTTTGTGGTTAGTAACAGCTTTGTAGACTTATTGTTTATTGGTTAAGCAGTACTTGCCGAGGTTGGTTAGTGGATGGGTGGCCATTTTTAACTTTGAAGACTAGGTATGGCAGTAATTTGTGATTGTACAAAAAATTGTAGCGAAACGGACGATCTATTTATTTTCTACATAAAGTTGTTTGTTCGATATCTATGTATTTTTTTACATAGAATGTTTAGTCAAAAACAAGGATTGTCATATTATTGAAAACTTTTGAAAATTCACTGGAAAAATTAAGATACACATAACGTTCTTGAGAACCTTTTTTTTAAAAACACATTGCACTACACTACTTACGATTTTCTCCTGTGTCGTTGGTGCGTTTACAAACATACAAGTTCACATACACATCACACCCAGACCCGGAACAACAATCTGTGTATCACACAAAGAGTTGTTTCGTACGAGAATTGAACCCGCGACACGTTGCACTGCAGCCAGTTGCCCAACCACCACGCCAAAAGTGCAGTTTTGCTACCGATTAGCTAGTATGTTATTAATATTAAATTCATGGTTTATTTTAGGTTTAGTTAATCAAAGAGCTTTATTGCAATAAACTGTGATGTATATACGTGTAAAATAAATAAATATTTGTCTATAAACATTGGTCAAGTAAGATAATAGTTTAACGAAAATATGTATTTCATTCTTAAACTGTCAAACACCAAGCGGTCACCGGTGACCGCGACCTATTGTTCTTTAATTGTGTCTATAAAACCGGTACTCGACGACTTAATTTACAAATTACATCAAGGACGTTGAAAAATGGCGGACGCAGTCTCTTGAAACAACGACTGTGGCACCTGACTACTATAGATTTACACGCAGAACACACACACATTGACACGAAGGACATCTACCATTATCTTAAATCCAGTAACGTGGTAACACATTACACCCACACACATTCTTAAAACTACTTGTTACTGAAAAAACTAAAAGCAGCTGTAAAGAAGACTATAGAAAATGATTTAAAAATTTTTTTTATGGCATAAGCCGGTAAACGAGCAGACGGATCACCTGATGGTAAGCAATCGGCGTCGCCCATGGACACCTGGAACACCAGAGGCGTTACAAGCGCGTTACTGGCCTTTTGAGGATTAGGAGTTTGATGATCGTTGGGGATTCAGGGATTGGGGACATTGGGGAAGGGGAGGGTAACTGGGCCTCCGGTAACCTCACTACACACGATGAAACACAACACAAGCGTTGCTTCACGTCAGTTTTTTGTGAGGCCGTGGTATTACTCCGGTCGAGACGGTCCATTGCCGAAGCATGGCTCTCTCACACTTAAAAATATGCAAAATTCTGCCGATTACTTTCAAACATAAATATCTTTTATTAGTTAAGCTTTTGACTGCCAACAGAAAACTGCTGAAGGCAAAAAATCCGCTAACGCGGCGGTTACCGTATTAACCACCGCCATACTCAGGAGCATAACTTATGTTATGTAAAGAACAACCATAACGCACGAACTATGGCTGCTGGTAGATACAATGTACTCAGTTTCACTATTTTGGTGATAGAACACTAAAAAAGAGAATACCATATCCATTGAATAGTTTGCCGGCAGACATAAGAGGGTGAAACAAATTCAAATAGGTTTAAACGTAAATTAAAATCATATTATTTAGAAATGTCCCAATAATAACTATCAGTTTCATCGCCTGTATGACATTTAAATATCATCATCATCATCATCAACAGCCATTAAATGCCCACTGCCGAGCAAATCCTCTTCTCGCACGGAGAAGGTTTGAGCATTAATCACCACGCTTGCTCATTGCGGGTTGGCGATTTCAAACTTATAATTAGAAATCATAAGTAGAGGTTTCCTCACGATGTTTTCCTTCACTGTTTGTCAGTGATGTCTAAATAATCTTAGAAAGTACATATAACTCGGAAAAAGTCACATTGGTACTTGACGTTGGTAGGTTTCGAACGCCCGCGAAAGACGCCCGCTTCTCATGCATGAGGCATGAGAAGCGTGCGTCTTAACCTCCGGGCCACCACGACATTTATTTCACAGTCAAACCATTGCAACGGTTTTGTGGGGCTTAGATTATAAAATACTTCTATTACTTACCTTTGTGATGTAAAGATAAATAATAATAACATAAAAATGTACTGACGTTTTTGTGCTTCAGTAATTTCAAGTGACTTTATATTCGCCTTTTTTTAACGTCCTTTTTAGTAATAAGAACTTATTATACATACTAGGATAATAGGTTACATATACATTATTATATCTACGCATATAAAATCTTAGGCTTCAATTGAATGATACAAAAAACTCATAGATAGTAAAGTTTTTTAAAATATTTCAAAGCAACTAGCGTGCGTTACGGTACGATTTGACTTTATAATCGTAAAAGGAATAGACGCCCAATCAATGGGCTATCGATATCACTACATAGTATAAAACAAAGTCGCTATCCGCCGTCTGTCTGTCCCTATGTATGCTTAGATCTTTAAAACTACGCAACGGATTTTGATGCGGTTTTTTAACCGACTTCAAAAAAAGGAGGAGGTTCTCAATTCGACCGTATATATGCTTTTTTTATAGATTCTTAAGGAAGGTTTATATGTATAATACATGCATGTTGCACCCGTGTGAAGCCGGGGCGGGTCGCTATTTAATTATAAAATAGAGTTGTTTACTTACCAAAATGGTATTATTAATAACTAGATTAGACATCACGTCTCCTTAAGTCATTAGCGGTGATTTTTTTGGACACAAGTTCTAGTCATTGGTCGGTCTATATCACTGTCAATATTTTTAAGAATGCTGCATACTTTATAATAACTATCGTGAGACATATTAAATTAACTAAAAAATCGCGGGTTACTCACGTGAAAATACTAAGTAGGCTGAGCGACATCGCCGCGACCGCGCACGCTGCTCATGAGGAAGAGCCCCTCTGTGGTTCGAAACTAGTAGAGCTTTTCTCAGTATTTTCTCGTGAGTAACCCGCGATTTTTAGTTAATGCTACATATCTTAGGCTTTTCGTATCTTAATGGTATCAAATTTTTTCTAGTCATTACTTTACAATTATTTTGTATCTGTAGTCTATTGTTACGAACCAATGTTGCCAGACGACACTATAAAATAATTTCGTGTTTGAAACTCCTTGTTAGATGTTTATGTGGCAACACTATTGAGTTTAGGAGGATTGTTTCCGCTGGGACCACTACTCCTGCACCTGTTAATAAAAAATGAATCTTATATTAAATAGGTAATATTGCTCAAAGAGCTTTTTTGAGGGGGGGAAGTCATCAAATGACTTCTCCGGGAAGGAGTGTCAGACTCTTACTGACTAAAAACCACCCATTCCTACTAATAATGCACTTCGAGCCGGAGCCCCGGCAACCCGTTAAGTCTTCCGCGGCTTCGTATCGGCATCAGCCCTACTGGGCCCATCTGTGTTAGTCTCTTTAATACACGCGCGGGACGCTACGCGCTTTAAGCTCGGGTCTAGTTCTGGCACAGCTGTTAAGGTCACATCTACATGGTTCCAGCGATTAAGTTGTCATTTATTTAATAACGTCAATACAATAAGCTGACAGTTGAGTACAACTTACCCAAAATAGTAATAGATGGGTTCAACCTCCCATCGGTGTTGAAAAGCGGTGTGTTGTCCATCTTTGCGAATGGTTTGTTCGGGTCCGGATCTGAAGGTGTACCTTCCACCCTGGACCATTCTCCTACTGACGCTTCTTGGCCGACTGGATAGAAAAACAATTTATTATTAACCCTTAGAGTGCCACATCATTCACCAGTGCCTGTGAGTGACATTGTTCATTTTTAATAACAAACGTTCATATAAAATTATTCTCTAAATATCAGCAATAAAGTCTATAATGGGGTAAGTGAGAGAAGACACTGATGTCCTTTTGGGGATTTAGAAGATAGAACCCGAATTGCAGTGCCGGGATAGAAATAGTTTCAACAACTTACCGACAGAGTACATAACAAGCGCATGTTCATGAATCGTCGCGTTGTTCAGTACAATCGACTCCTTGATTCTCACGCCTGCCTTGATTGTCACTCCTGCGCCGATCGACACGTTCGGGCCAATCTATGTGATAAACAGGTGATTAATTAACAGATAGGTGTAATTTATATATTTTTAAATGAATATATTTAATGAAGAAAGTTGAAAGTTGAGTTAGTTAAAGTATTTATAATTCAAGAACGGCTTAACCGATTCGGCGAGGAGATAGCTTGGAACCAGGCGACGGACATGTGATACTTTTTATCTAATATATATCTTTATATATATAATTCTTCTGTGAGTGTGTATGTCACTGAACTTCTCTCAAACGACTGGACCGATTTTGATGAAATTTTTTGTGTGTGTTCAAGGGGATCTGGGAATGGTCTAATCAGCCCGTCAGATGGCGCTGCAGTCGATGTTTAGGTTATTTATCCTAAACAGATGAACTAATTTGAATGAATTTTTGTTTATACATTCTAGTGGATATACAGGACAACGTCTGTTGGGTCCGCTAGTATTCTTTATAAGTACCTAATAGTAATATCCGAGCGAGCCTTTTGAACAGTCGTTATTTCAGACTTCGTGTTCTTATCGAATATAAAAAATACGTTATATCCGACTTGGAAATCGATCAAATCCAAGTTAAATTTTTAAATTTAGAATGCTTTCTAAAGTTCTTGTAGTTTTAACTTTTATTAAAAGAGAAAATCTGGACTAGAAACATTCCAAGCAAATTGTTTCACTGGTATATAGCAAATTGTATGTGCCCCATTTACCACAGCAGTAGAGTCGACAACAGCGGTGGGATGTACGAAGACATCAGGCAGTATGGTGCAGGGTTTGTCTTTGGAAACTCGATCCCGGTGGAGCTCCAGATAGTGACGGTTGGCGTATATCGCTGATCCTGCAGTTTTCACTTGAGACCACCAATTTGTTACCTGGGAAATATCATAATACTTTAATTTATGATAAGAAAGGCAGGTTTATCTAGAATATTATGTACAAGTGTCCAATTTGGTCAGATGATTGTCAACTCTATTACGTAACAATGAAATTGGAAATCGCTTTTGTAGACACTTTTTCGCTTTTTTTTATGGCATAAGCCGGTAAACGAGCAGACGGATCACCTGATGGTAAGCAATCGGCGTCGCCCATGGACACCTGGAACACCAGAGGCGTTACAAGTGCGTTACCGGCCTTTTGGAGGATTAGGAGTTTGAGGATCGTTGGGGATTTAGGAATTGTGGAGATTTGGGAAGGGGAAGGTAATTGGGCCTCCGGTAACCTCACTCATACGACGAAACACAACGCAAGCATTGCTTCACGTTGGGTTTCTGCCGAAGCATGGCTCTACCACACTTAAAACTACATATTAGATCGAGCCAGAAGAAAATATAAAAAAGATCATTCTATTCTTTTTTAAGTCTACTAAGATTAATTTCTTTAATAATTTGTAACCATACCGAAATTAAGTATTACCTGCATAGCATACAACTTGTTGGTCCCAGCCAGCTGCATCAACACATCTTGCTCAAAAGACATGTATCCAGGATGAGGACTAGTTTGACCATTACCACTAAAAGTAGAAAAAATTTACTTAGCACTCCGTTATTCTCTTGTATCATAGATACGTTTTATCATTTAGCCATTGGAAAAATGTCAACAAAACACTTGAGAATAGTCAATAGTCAACTTGTTTTTAGAAAACGACACACGGTTTGTGAATATACCGAGTAAAGCTCTACTAGTTTCGAGCCACACAGGGGCTCTTCCTCATGTGCAACGTGAGCGGTAGCGGCGCTGTCAAAACTAGTAGAGCTTTTCTTAGTCTTTTCACGTGAGTACCTAACCCGCGATTTTTAGTTAATTTACTATGTCTCACGACAATTATCATAAAAACACTGCTTGTGTTTCTGTGTGATATCACAGCCAGTTTTTAAGAGAACATTATATCAACTTAACGAGACATTAGAGAATTAGTCCTTTATTGAAGTGTAATTTTATATCTTATACTATTATTTTATATTTTATACTATTTGTATATTTATATTATATAAAGCGGAAGAGTTTGTTTGTTTGTTTATTTATTTGAACGCGCTAATCTCCATAACTACAAGTCTGATTTGAATAATTCTTTTTGTGTTGGATAGCGCATTTATCGAGGATGGCTATCCTTACTGTTATAAATCGTAATATTATAAATCGGAAAGTGAGTTTGTTTGTTTGTTCCACTATCACGCCATAACTACTAAACCGATTGCTATGAATTTTTGCAGATGTATAGTTAGAAGTCTGGGTTAAATAATAGGGTACTTTTTATCCCGGAAAAATTTGATATTCCCGAGGGAAAACAAAAGAATAGGTATAGATGGCGCTGTGTGTATTGGTATATATGTCACATTGGCTTTTTATCTTTTTGTGACGCGAGCGAAGCTGCGGGTAAAAGCTAGTAGGCTATAAAACACCACGATACGACCAATAGGAGCTGAGCAGAGCGTGTGAAACCGCGCAGAAGTAGCTAGTTGAAGAAATAAATTCAATAATGTTAAGTACCTGTAAAACCCATCCTGTTTCTTCTGAAATGAGTCAGCCATAGTGTGGAAGACTTGCAGTGAACACACATACACTCCGCAGTTTATGAGAGTGGACACGTAGCTGTTTGGTTTCTCTACATAATGGGTCACTGACTTCGTAGATCCTTCTCTCACCATGCAGCCGTAGTGGACTGACTGCTGACGAGTCGCTTCTGTACCCATTATTGTGACCTGCAATGAAGATATTTAAGAATTACCTATACACATTTGTTTGAAATTTTAAAATAACCGCTTCTTACTACAGGCATATGAATATACAAACGGTACACATACCAAAATATACATATATTTTTTATTTTTGTGTCTGTTTTTACTGGAATGGCTGGACCGATTTTGCAATGCAATACATTAATAGCTGATGTACCAAAGAGAACTATAGGCTACTTTTCTTTTGAAAAATTAAAACAAAAAAAGTTATGTTCTTAAATACATATTCCACGCGGACGAAGACGCGGGCAACAGCAAGTTTTCTATAAACTGTTTCATTATAAAAACGCCTTTTTTAGCATGAAGGTTACTTCTTATTCATATTTCTTTAAGGAAAGAAAAAAATATTTCTAAGGAAATTTCAGCAGTATTGAGAAGAATCAATATTTTTGACGGAAGCAAGTTTGTATATAATATAATACTTTTGTAGCCATATCTTACGACTTCTTGGAATGAACCGTTTGGAATCCCTATACTTATCAAATAGTTACTAACTATAAAAACTCAAAATCAAAAAGTCTCCATTGTACTCATTACTAAGTAGTTATTTAGTCAAATCTCCAATCAACATGTTACATCATAGACCACATTATTAGTTACCATCAGGTGAGATAGTGGCAATAAAGAAAATAACAAAGATCTCTTACCAGAGCATTCGCCTTTTCTGCATGGAAATGCCACAACTCTTTAAGCGGGAAGTCAGCACAAACATCCCCATTGAGTAGAAAGAATGCTGACGGGTTGCCCGCTCTGACCTGATCTCTGAAGTGGTATAGACCTCCACCAGTGCCCAGTGGAGTGAACTCTTGAAGGTATCTGAAAATTTTTGAATAGATAGATTAATAAACTTCAAATAAGTAAAGAATTAGTTTAGTTAAGTTCTTTAAGATGAGCAGGCTACACCATCAGTGGTTGCATGAGATATGACCACTGGTACTAAGAATATTTTCATATTTTTTTTAATATTGAAATTCTATATTGAAAATGATTTCAGAAATGCATTTCGCTAAGTATTTAAACCAACCTCTATGCTCTTAATCTGACAAAACTGACCATAAATGATTAGTTTTTTTTTATTTTCATTGTTGGCTATATTCCAATAGAATACTGGATAATTTCCAAATGCCTGATCTCTTATTGGGCTACTAAGTATAATATAAATTTAAATTAGTATTCTTAACCCATATATCCCCAAGCGGTTACCGGTGATGGCTTTCCACTAACTAAATTATAGACCTTATTTCCAATGCTTAGAGACTACATTTGTATGAGCAAATTTAGGGGATGAATTTCAACAGGTTAAACACAAACCTGATAATAACATGATATTCCTTCTGCATGTCATTGACAAACTGTGCCATAGTGTTGGTCGTGTATGACCCAATGATTAGGATCTCCTTGCATTCCTCCAACTTCACACATGCTTCTATATGATGCTGGATCAGAGGGAAGCCTGCTATTGGGAACAGGGGCTTTGGGGTGTCTAGAGAGAGGGGACGGAAACGAGTTCCTGGAAAATAGAGATTTATTTTTTAGTTTTTGATTTATATTAATTGTATTGGTGTTGGTTTTGTGTGGCTTACATGGGTAATACCTGTATAACCACTTTATAAATAGTTTTCTGCTTTTGGTAAGACTGATCCATTAAACTGTCAAACACTGCGAGGACACCGGTGACCGCAACTTACTGTTCTTTAATTGTGTCTATAATGACAGTACTCAAAGGGTTAGGATTAAGGTAAGTAGTCTTTATAACCAGTGAGTGACCAGTGAATATAAAATAAATTTAATGAATTAGGTGTCATTCAATTTATTACTGAACATAAGTAATACAATCTAAGACTATCTAATCATTTTAGGTAAGTACATATCAATCTAGATCAAAACGAAGTCACATCCTTATAATATAAACTGATACCATCAATGCCACATATATATGTACAGAATAAACACGACACTTATTACTATACAATATATTTTATTTACATAACCTTCAAGCACAGAAAAGTCGTTTTCTGAAGACAAAATACTGCTCTAATTAACTTCACAGCGCTTCTACATGTACATAAGTAGTTTATATATATAATTCAATTAGTAACAACATGATTTTATGCGTATTATTAATATTAATTGATAAGAAATGCCGGTGACGTCGACGGGAATAAAACTTTTACCTTTTTGCGGCCCTCCAATTAGAATTACGGCTTTCAACATTGTGAATACGTTTAGTTTTTCAAAAATTAATGTTATGTAGCTCTGTATGCGTCTTTAAATTGTTTATTACGCTATAACAATAGAAAAACAAATATTTGATACAGGCGTACACAAAAACACGTCAGTGTTTAACAAAGTCAAGGAAACTGAAATGTCAAAACGATTTGACAGTGACAGTAATCAATGATAACTTTTTATTGATGGATATTGTGGCTTTTTAGCATATTAATTACATATAATTATTTTTTTTAAATTTCTAAATCTAAATATTTTCATGATATTAGGGTAGTATTAACATTGAATTATTGTATAAAATCTTATGATTATGATTTGTTTTATGCAATAGGAGGCAAACGAGCAGACGGATCATCTGATGGTAAGCGATCAGCGCCGCCCATGGACACCCGTAACACCAGAGGAGTAACAAGTGCGTTGCCGGCCTTTTAAAAAGAATACGCTCTTTTCTTGAAGGTTTGAAGGTCGTATCGGTTCGGAAATGATGAAGGCACATAATCGATTACCTTTTTTACGTCCTTGCTAACCGCCACTGAAATATCATCCCCTAAATTTGTTCATACAAAAGTAGTCTCTAAATATCGAAAATAAGGTTTATAATGTAGTTAGTAGAGAGCGGTCACCGGTGACCGCTTGGGGATACATGGGTGTCCAAACTGTCAGTATTGCAAGTATAAGAGAAAACCTACTAGAAACTGGATGGCCAGGGTCACAAAACTTGAAAGGAAAATTTTTAACATTGGATGAAACTCGTGAGTTAGAGAGTTTATATTTTATTTTATACTAGCGACCCGCCCCGGCTTCGCACGGGTGCAATATGTATATACATACAAACCTTCCTTAAGAATCACTCTATCTATTAAAAAAAACCGCATCAAAATCCGTTGCGTAGTTTTAAAGATCTAAGCATACATACGGACATACAGCGAAAGCGACTTTGTTTTATACTATGTATTGATAGGCGACAGTCTACTGTTCGGCTTATGATGCGTGCTTCCCTGCGGTGGGAGGCGGTACCGTAGAAGTTCGCGACTTACAAGCTTGAGGTTTTTATGAGAGCGCTTGCGCTGCTGCGCGGTTTCTGAATGTATAGTCCTATAATTAGTTCTTACGTCACCCACCCTACCTCGAAAGTCCGTATGTAAAGTGATAATGATGAAAGTTTACAACGGAGCGTTTTTACGATTTTTTTAACCTCTGTAGGAGCAGTTAGTATCGGAGGCTAAAGAGTCATTTAAGGCTACTGCTACTTTTATTCCTTTGACCACGTGGACGAAGCTGCTTGCTGAAAACCAGAGAATTATGTCATTGCCTATACCAAAACATTGCCAACACATTAGTAAGTGTGGAAGAGCCATGCTTCGTCATGAATGGGCCAGCTCGACCGGAGTGATACTATTGCCTAACAGAAAACCGACGTGAAACAACGCAACCGTTGTGTATCGTCGTGTGAGTGAGGTCACCGGAGGCCCAATTACCTTTCCCCACTCCCCAATCTCCCACAATCCCCGAATCCTTAAAAATCCTCATATTCCTTATCCCTAAAACGCCGGTAACGCACTTGTAACACCTCTGGTGTTCCGGGAGTCCATGGGCAACGCCGATAGCTAACCATCAGGTGATCCGTCTGCTGGTTTACCGACTTATCCCATAAAAGACACACACACACATGTTTACAGATCATGTACATATGTACATGTTGTACAATATTATGATGTATCAATACATCGTAGTTAAGAGCACTAGGCGTAAAATCAATACGTACGGGTGCAGAATACCGAACGATATCGTATCGAAATGCGTAGCTAGGTATTGTGTTTGAATATCTACTCTACTCGTATGATAAACGAAATCTCTCACCGAGAGACTGAGGCCCGATTTGCTGTATTTTACATACATGACTACCTACCTTAGTTATCGAGTAGTCGCAATCTTGACTACCGAGATAGTGGTATCAGATCTAATTAATGATTCCCAGTCTCAGGTATGTTTTTTATTTTTAAATAAAAGGTGGCTCCACATTAGGATTTTCTCCTTACAAACATACAAGTTCACATACACATGACACCCAGACTCGGTACAACGATTCATGGATCACACAAGGAGTTGCTCCATATGTGAATCAAACATGCTATACGTCGTGCGGCTGCCAGATACCCAGCCACAGCACCAACCGCGTAGTCATGTAAATGATATTATTCTTGTATAATAGCCTGGAACTGTAATCCATGTATGATAATAGGTTCTCTATTATAGGCATTATCTATTATAAATAACCTATTAGTATTCTTATACAACTTTCAAAAAGTATGCAACTACTTCTGCCTGCCCTTTTGAGGTATGAGCACCGGGTACAATCGACAAAGTTGGCGGTTGACCATTATTAGGGGATATTAGCATGCACTTGGCCCGAGCAAACAGCATGGAGGCGGTAAACAGCGAGTTTCCTTACACCGTACCGTACACTTTGTCGATAGTACCTATGACATTATATGATTCTAATGATGTTAGGAGTATATCTAAAAACATATAAAACGAAGATAAGACAATAGAAGTTGTAGCCGCACCGCACGACTACATACTTACCTTTTTTTAAGGGGGGAAAATCATCGAATGATTGCTCCCGCCTGGGTGAGGTGGGAGGGAGTATCAGACTCTTACTGACTAAAAACCACCCCGTTCCTACTCCTGCACATCGAGCCGGAGCCCCGGTAACTCGTAAAGTTCTCCGCGGCAGCGAACTAAGGTATCTTTAATATATTAGAAATTGATGTTCAACCACTCATAAACAAACAACATTGTTTTGTATATATTTTAATTAATCAGATAAAATATTAACAACAAAATTCAATTCAGTTGCATCGCAAACTAAATAACGTATTTTATATAGAGTGTTTCTTTGAAACCTGTGCCTACATTTTCGTGGAAACGTCCCGTACTCGTGTACAATGGATATTGATCGATGCATTCAAATGGATTTCAGGTACAAACAGCTCTCTAGGTGGTGTATGAGAGATAGGAATTTGTGATAATTCTGAAAGTATGCCTCTTGCTCAGAAAGCAATCGAAAGATTGCTTCGTTGTTTAGGTAGGTATATTTTTTTATTTATTTAATTGCATAAGGAAGACTTAATGGTGACAGCATTCTCTGTCAGTCATCCTTTGGGTAGTGCAGAAATAAAGAAAGGTTATGAGTCCTAGTACTTCTACGTACGTAATAAGTATTACGTTACTTTCTACACTTACAAAACATAACATTACGTTTTTATCCCCGAAGAGATAGGCAGAGGTGCACATTGCGGCACAATGCCTCAGTGTAATGCAACACCCACTTTTCAGTATTTATGTTATGAGTCCACTATAATAGAGAGTGATTTGCCTATTGCCATATACCGGGCACAATTCCAGACTCCGTGCTACCACTGTAAATTTTTTCAAAACACCCAGTAACACTTTGCCCGACCCGGGTATCGAACCCGAGACCCCTTGTCCGCTAATCGCACTTGCGACCACCCGGCCAACAAGGCAGTCATCATGATAAAGATAATCAGGTGGTAGTTTGCCTTTGTTGGTCCCAGATTGGTAGGTTGCCTTTGTAACAACGAAAACTCAACTCAAACTTTTATTTACAAAAATTTTAGGTGCACAAGTTTGTATGTAGGTATGTATGTAGGACTCTTTTTGAAGAACGCAGAAACGGCTGAACATTCTGCAATAACCCACTAGGCTACTTTTCAACCCAGTAACGCGGGCTAGCTGCTAGCAGACTAACCTAACTATTAATGTCGTCATTCATTGTGACGTGTTCCAAGTTGATGAAATTTGCTACAGAATTTTGAGCTTTATTGTCACCAGCTCTGAAAGGTTTCAAAGTCGAAATTATTGTGTATCTAAGCGATAATTTGTATAATGAGTTCCGTCAACATTTTTCCTTGTTTCACTCTTCTTTTCCTCGAATTGAGGGTTTATTAATAGCAAGGTTATTTAATTAATATTTTAAGGTAAAAAACGGAATATTAATAAAAAAAAACCTTTGAAAAAGAGATGTATTTGAGCCACTTCTGTTGGTTTGCGGAAGGTACGGTGTAATTTTGGCAGTAAACTCGAATCGAATTTTACGATATTTTTAATCTGTCCTTATTAAAATTTCGGATGAGATTAATATCATTACCTAAAGAACATACATTGAGCTTGTTCAAACATTGAGTCACCATTTTATTTCATTAATCATATTCCTAAAATGTAGTGCTGGGAACTAGTTGCACCCATTTTAAATAGATAAACATAAACATAACATCACGCCTTTTATCCCCGAAAGGGTAGGCAGAGGTGCACATTGCCACTGTGCAATGTAACACCCACTTTTCACTATTTATGTTATGAGTCCCATGTAATAGGGGGTGAGCCTATTGCCATATATATTATTATTATTATTTAAATAGATATATGTAATTATTATGTTTTTCGGCTTACTCACGTAATTATTTGACGAGGAACTCAAAAATAGTCTCAGCAACCGCAGCAGCGCGTCGACAGAAGCCGCGTCGCGGTTCGCGGAATGCTGCTCATGAATATGAGCCTCTAGCATGGCTTGAAACTAGTCGAGTTACTCGTCAAATGATTACGTGAGTAAGCCGAAAACATAATATTTAATTTAGTATGTCTCACGAAAGCTTTAATATAAATTGAATAATAGATCTAGCTATTAAACATTAGCCACCAAAACATGTAAGAATCTAAAATACAAACACAATTCTCAATGCACCGTTGTCCTATACTGTGGTAGACTTTCTTGCACTGGAATGCATTTGATTAAATTGTGGCAAGCGCAACATAGAAATGAAATTACAAACTTCTTGGTTCATACTTCGTGGAAAGAGCAAAGTCTATGTAGTCTAAGATCAGGGGACGGGCAAACTTTTTTATCTGTAGCTGCAATAAAAAAAGATTGTTGCGAGTGGCAGATGTGATTAAAATTATTTATG